AGCATTCTTAAATGATGGAACATTTGTAATCAAGGAACTCTTTGGTCTATACACAAGTATTCCACCCTTTCTATTTGGGATGCTAGATGGATCCCCAATACCCCACCTTAGAAACTGCATAGAAGGACCCTTTAATAACAATGAAAATCAGTGTGATCTTATTAATAACAATTCTTGGTAGTTAGATAAGCTCTTTTTTGAATTACCCCCTAATATTACTAACAATATTAATGCTATTATCATTCCTATTAATTGCCCCTATGATTGTCCCTTATGCGAACCAAATGGTGATGGTATCTTTTCTAAGGCCTCCAATTATCCTCTTATATCTAATCCCACTCCTTCGCCTAGAAGCTTTAAATGGATTTGGGATACTCATTGCCCTAATAAAATAAAAAAAAATCCTCTGGAAATGCTATCACAATAGGCTACCCTCCCGTTCTTACCTTTACCACATTGGTATGAACATAGATAAAAGGTGCGCTATTTGTAGGTCTGGTGGGGAGGACCTACCTCACATCTTACATTGTTCCATAGCAAACAACCTCTGGCACTCCCTTAACTGGGATAATACTACTACCGACTTCAATAACCATGACTGAGTAGATATTATTACAAATAGTAACCCCAACATTCCCTCACACAGGATAATTTGGAGTCATTTATTACCCTTTATTTTATGGAATCTTTGGTTAAACAGAAATTACAACACAGAAAATAACTCCAAAAGAGGTATTCCTCTCCCTTACTTTATTAACTAAGCTACCGAATATTACTACCTTACTAATAGAGAAAGTAACCACGAAAGAAAAATTAGTTGTAATACCAACTGGAGAAAACCTCAAACTGGCTGGTTTAAACTAAATTTTGACGGGTCATACAAGCAGATGGCCAGTGGAATAGCTGGAGTTATACGCGATCATAACGGCCACTGGATTATGGGTTTCAACATGAAGGTGCAAGCTGCTTCCTGTATCCATGCAGAACTCTTGGCACTTCAGCAAAGTTTGGAATTTGCCATGGGAATTTTTTCCCCCAATTAAAATCGAATCTGACTCAACCCAGGTATTAAATCTACTTGAAAATGGCCAATCAACTTACGACTCTCTCTTACATAATTGCAGGTGGTTGATATCCATGAAGGAGAAGGATCCAGTGGTACATCATAATTTCAGGGAAGGGAATGAAGTAGCAGACCTGCTGGCAAAGGACACTGCTAAGCAGACCAACATAAATAAGCTCACATGTTTTGTTAACCCCCCCACCTTTTGTCGTGGCCAGGATGCCGGCGAATAAGGATGGAGGTTGTAGTAGGAAACTTGTGCTTGAAAGCACGTGTAGAACCCTTGCTAAGTTTGGTAATCAGAATGATGTAGACGGCATCTCCGCTATGTGTAATGATCCATTGGATCCTTGTAACAATGTTTCGTAGAATTAAATAAAAGTATCTACTCTTTAAAAAAAAAGTATCACAAATATATGAGAATTGTGTTGGTATTGTATCAGGTATTGTTTTAGGTATTAATGTATCAAATACAAGTTAGATATGTTTGTGATACTGATATGACACAATTATGATACAATTATGTTTTAGGTATTGATGTATCAGATACAATTCTGATGCAATTATGATACAATTATCACACAATTCATGCAACTTCTTCCTCTTTTAGTTTTAATCTGAATTTTGACCTAAAACTAACTTCATACTTAACCAATCTCATTCAAATTTGCGATAAACTCCAAAGAATATTCTCAATCACTTACAAAAACATCCAATCCACAAAAACCATAAAATCTTAAAACCCGAAATTGTATGTATATATGCATATATGCTCGAGAATCATATGTATTTTTGGTGTTCAAATGGATCAATTTGTGGATGAGTGTGTTAGGCAAACAAACTGAATAAATTAAGGAAAGGAAAAAAACGGAGAGAGGAGAAGAGAGGAGCGGAGAAAAGAAAGGATTCAATTGAATCATTTAATTGAAGACACTAATAATGGGATATGAGCCTTTTATGGGGTGGAATATATACATTTGGTAAGAAAAATTTAAATTTAAATATTTATTAAAAACTACACAACTTAAAGAAAAGTGATAAATAAGTTTCTATTATAGCATAGCTAGCTAAATTTCCCTTAAAATTTGTCTTCCCGTTTTGATACAATCAAATTTTATTGTAATAAAAGAATATACTTTATGAAATATGAGATGCAAATTTTAGAGTTGGTCCAATATTCATTTGCACCAGATTTTATAACACACATAATAAACTTTTTTTTATTCTTTCGAAAAAGGGCCTAAACTACCCCTATCGTTTATTAAATGGTTTATAAATACCCTCCGTCCATCTATCCGTCCAAAAAAATACACCACGTTAATTCTATTAATAAAATTACCCCCGCGACTAACGGCAGAACTGGTGGGCCTATAATTTAACGACGTGTCATTTTTCTACTGGGCCACGTGGCAATATCTGAGTAGAACAAAAATGGATATTATTTCAACCCATTTACCTTATCCGACCCAAGATTTTGTTATCTGGGTTATAAAATTACATTAACCCACCTAGTTGATCCTATAGAATCCGCAGTCATCTTCTCCCCCCAAAATCTCTCCTTTACCCTAACTATCACTTTTTTCTCCTTCTTTAGTATAAAATTTTCTTTTTTATTGGAGCCTTGAACAATCTCATGTAAATGGGATTAAATTTTGTAAAAAGATAAGATTTTGATAAAAGGGGTTTAATTATAACATAGTAAATTTGAGGTTTTTTTGTATCGCTTTAATGGCCGTAAACATTTATAATTGTGTAGCCTCAAATCTTTTATGTACAGAAACAAAAAGTCTTTGTTTTGATGATCTTGATTCTTTGACTATAATTCAACAGAACATTGAAACTAACAGTAAAGACTTGAACTTTAACAATGGTATTAGATCAGAACCATTGATTGGTTTGCCAAGTTTAAGTGAAGAAAGCTTTGGTTTTATGGTGCAAAGGGAAATGGAGTTTTTGCATATAACAAGAGAAGGAGCATGGTCATCCTCTTGTTTTCAATTTTGGCAGATTATGAAAACAACTGGGTTGATCTTTTAATTTACTAATGCATCCTCTTTGATCTTGGGGCTGAGAACTAAGGATACTTGTGTATGATTTAATGCATTCGCTTCTTTTTTATGACATAGCATTATAATTTGCTTTTTGAGAGCAGTAGCTATGGTGATGGAGTGGCGGAGAGAGAGTTTGGGTGAAATGAAGAAGAAGATTGAAAAAATGGGGAAGACATTGGGTCGGGTCAGTTAAGTGGGTCGAAATAAGATGATTTTTTATTTTAGTCCGAGATTGCCATGTGGCCCAGTAGAAAAATGACACGTCATTAAATTGTAGGTCCACCAGTTCTGCCGTTAGTCGCGGGGGTAATTTTATTAATAGAATTAATGTGGTGTATATTTTTGGACGGAGGATATTTATAAACAATTTAGTAAACAATAAGGGTATTTTTGGTCCTTTTCCGTTATTTTTTGGGAAAATTTCACATTAGAACAACTGGGCTCCATACTTTTCAATTTTGTAGCCCATATTTCAATTTACAACCAAGTAGCCCATAAATAATAGGCTAAGATTCAACATCTAACTCCAATAGGTTCTCAAAATTACTATTTAATTTTTAAAAAAGATTCCTCAAGCTTTTAAATTACTTTTCGAATCAGTAATTGTGACTCAAATATTAATTTAACAAACCAACTTCATTTGGGTGGTGAAAATTAGATTTTTAACAAGCTTAAATATGTGGGTTTGAATTTCGAATTTGATTTTATGAGAAATTTGGAGTGGGTGTTATTTAGACTTGTTAGAAATAGTATAAGGAGGTTGTATATAATATTTGAAGTCATTTAATGGAGATTTGGACTGGTTTTGAATAAGAATTGCAACTGAAAATCGTGGAAGAAGTTCGTCTACAGACGCTTGTATAAAGGTGTATAAAAGTGTATAACAGTGTATAAGGTGTATTTCTACACTCATATACAATATTATACAAGATTATACATAATTATACAAAAAACTGACTTCGTCTTCTTTCTTGCGTCTTTTCTGAAATTTAATTCAAATCTTGCTCAAATCTACTCCAAATCACTTCAAATTTAAATTTTGTACTCCTTTTGATATTTTCAATCAATTGGAACAATACCCAATCCAAACAACTAACAAATTCAAAACAACCCATTTTCAAAAGCAAAGCTTTGAATGATCTTCCATGGTGGACTTCTACTCTTCAATTTTCTTTCGTTGCAAGCAGGTGACACAAGAGGAGAAACAGAAAATTCATGGTCCTTTGAAGCATATGTAAAAGATGTGAGAAAAAGAGAGAGTGAAAGCAATAGTTGTGAGAACAAAGAATTAACTCCATAGCTTTTAGAAGCAATTGTTGTAAAAACATATATTTTGAATTTGCAAGTGCTTTCAAAATATGTACAATGTGGACTAGGTGGGGTAAAATTTAAAAACATGGGTCGTTTTTTGTAATGAGGTAAAGTCATGTGTATTTTCTTGTAATTCTTTCTTATTTTTTTTTGCCGAAACACATGATCCCCACCTCAAAAATAACAAATGTACTTTCGACAAATCACCTTACTAATTCATCACTCTTCCACTAAAAGCGGTAAAACTCAGTCCTTTTTAATCTAAGGGTAAATTAAAAAAGCGTGGTAAAATTTTGCTGCCACGTATATATCCCCGGATAAACCTGAAAATAAACAGAAATCCACGTTCCCAAAAGACTCGTGCTCATAGCATACGTGGCAGGACTTACCGAAACAGTCAACAAATGCGAAACACTGGATCACGTCCTTTTCGTGACTTGCTGAAATAGCCAAAACGCTTCGATCATCCAAAAAATATAATAGACGGTCCAGATTTGTTAATCACATCATATTAGGGTTCTTGTCTCCGGCAGTATAAAAACCTCACAGTTTCTTCTTTGCCGGTTTGCGGTGCAGTTTTCTCTGCCCTCCCCAAAGCAAAAAATTATCCTAATTTTTCTTTCATATATATTTTTGTCTCTCAGTTTACTCACCTGCCGCCGGCGCCGTTCGGTTCTCCGACGATAATTTATCCCCATTTTATCCTTCCAAAAAATCTTCCAGAATTTCACTCTGTATCCAATTTTACTGTTCTAGGGTATTGATAAAAGGAAGAAAGGAATTTCTTTTGGAGAATTATGGCGCTACAGGTGCATCACCAGACTCCGGTGGCGGGTCAAAATGGTGTGGCGGCAACGGCTGGCGGCGGCGGCGCCGTGGGTTCACCGCCGCCGGTGGTAGGAAACAGCCAGGTTGTTGTGTCGACGTCACTTTACGTGGGTGACCTTGATTTTAACGTGAATGATTCGCAGCTATATGATCTGTTTAACCAGGTTGGTCAGGTAGTATCGGTTAGGGTTTGTAGGGACTTGAGTACTAGGAGATCCCTTGGTTATGGCTACGTGAACTACAGCAACCCGACAGATGGTTAGTACTTTTCTTGAAACTGTCTAATGTTCACTGGTTTTAGCATATCCCTATTGAGTTTAATGTTGATATTATGTGTTCTAGAACAATTGATAGTACTAAGCTGCAATGCTAACTAGCTGAGGTTGGTTATATGGATCCTGTTTTAGTTCTGTACCATATCATTTCACTACTAAATAATCTGTCCGGAATTTTCATTTTTTTTGGGTTTCATTTAAGCTGAAATAACTCTTAGGTAGCAGCTTCATGCGCGTTGTGGTTGTAGAAGTTTGCTTGTGTTACTTGAGTTTCTTTTTATTTTTCTTTTATTGATAATCGAGTAATCCCTGAGCTCCAGTGTAGCACGGTACGAAACTTGATAGATAATGGACCGACACCTTTGCCTATTTTCACTAATATACTAGGCTTGTGAATATTACACAGAGCACAAATGCTTATCAAATTGTTCCACGTAGGTGTGGGCGTCATTGATCATTTGGGAGTTTATTTTTTCCTAAAAGCAGCAGAATTTCCCTTGCTTAGTTTGAAAATTGAGATGTATCATTTAAGGTTGTGATGTTGTTAATTCTATGTGACTTGCTCAATGCTGTGTGGAATAGAATGTACCAAATGGTTAGAAGTTAGGTTGAATTGGAGTGGTCCTTTTCGGTTCTTCATTTTTCTGTTGTTTCATATGGTTTTGTTTTTCTGTTCTCCCTTTGTTGTTTCTATTGGTTATTACACAGATTCACTGGTAATAATATTCCGGTGAAGATATAATGCTTATGTATTTGTTCGTTTCCAAACAATAATGTACGTCTAACATTTGTTGCCTTTTTTTAATTCACAGCCGCCAGGGCAATGGAGGTGTTGAACTTCACTCCTATTAATGGGAAGTCCATTAGGATAATGTATTCTCATAGAGACCCCAGTATCCGTAAGAGTGGAGCAGCTAATATTTTTATTAAGGTATTTATACCTGAACCTGAAATTTTCAAAAACATTTTGATTTATCATTTGATGCCTTCTCCGCATGGCTGGAGCTTGCTTGAACATTCAAGTATAGCATGCAATAGGTTATATGTATTTTTTATCCGGGACTGCAGTATTTGTTGCTTACAGATAGCTGAATACATTTTTTTCATGGACCAAGTGAAATACTTTTGACTGTAATGTTCACTCAACATCATATCGTCTCTTTCATGTGTTTCTTTCCTTGTAAAGCTAACGTATTGGAGAAACATAATCTTTTTTATAATCTCGTTGAATATCTTAGTCCCTGTGTTACCTGCATCCGTTCTTGATGTTGATTTGTTGTTGTTTTCTTACACGTGGGCATTTGGTTTTCTTGTACAGAATTTGGACAAGTCTATTGACAACAAAGCTTTACATGACACTTTTTCAAGCTTTGGGAACATTCTTTCTTGCAAGATAGCTACTGATTCTAATGGCCAGTCTAAAGGCTATGGTTTTGTACAATTTGACAGTGAAGAGGCTGCTACAAGTGCAATAGCTAAGTTGAATGGCATGCTTATCAATGATAAGCAGGTGTATGTTGGGCATTTTCTTCGTAAACAAGAAAGAGATTCTGCAGTTAGCAAGACTAAATTCAATAACGTCTATGTGAAAAATTTGGCAGAGTCCACAACAGATGAGGAACTGAAAAAAACTTTTGGTGAGTTTGGTAATATTACTAGTGCAGTAGTGATGAGGGATGCTGACGGAAAATCCAAGTGCTTTGGGTTTGTCAATTTTGAAAATGCTGATGATGCTGCTAAGGCTGTTGAAGCTTTGAACGGGAAGAAATTTGATGATAAAGAGTGGTATGTTGGGAAAGCTCAGAAGAAGTCTGAAAGGGAACAAGAACTGAAAAGCAAGTTTGAGCAGACAGCTAAGGAGGTAGTAGATAAATACAAAGGAGTTAACCTGTACATTAAAAATTTGGATGATACCATTGACGATGATAAACTCAAGGAACTTTTTTCGGAGTTTGGCACAGTTACTTCTTGCAAGGTAAACTGAGTATATCCAGGAACCTAATTCTATTGGACATACCATTTTTCGGCACTAGCTTAAGCTTTAGGCCTGTTGTGTTACTGTATTCTGCAGGTTATGCGAGATCCTAGTGGAATCAGCAGAGGATCTGGATTTGTTGCTTTCTCAACTCCAGAAGAAGCTTCCAAAGCTGTAAGTTATTGTTTGTGCGAGTTTTTATTTTGGGTTGATGAGATGCTGGTTAAGATGACACATTCTTTTTAATTTTTTGGGGGTTCAAGCTTTCTGAGATGAACGGGAAAATGATAGTTAGCAAGCCACTCTACGTTGCACTTGCTCAGCGCAAAGAGGAGAGAAGAGCTAGGTTGCAGGTATGAATCCAAGCGGTCCCATTCTTTTGACATATAGATTAAATTTTCGTATACTGCTCTATAGATTGCTCATAGGTTCTAGCAGATAATGATGTATCTTTTCAAACTTCTATCTTGGCGGATTTCTGGTGAGGCATCTAAAAGAGGTATTTTTGAACTGTGGCTGAATAGCTGATATGATCTTTGCTGATCACTTCAATCTGCACTAAAATTTGATCTGTCAAATGTGTAATATATCGTCCCTTGCGGGACTTCAAATAAAAAACTGTGTAATGTATGGCATGCCGCACTGCTCTTGTATTCACAGGCACAATTTTCACAACTGCGACCAGTTGCAATGGCTGCATCAATGGCTCCTCGTATGCCAATGTATCCTCCTGGTGCACCTGGTATGGGACAGCAACTATTTTATGGGCAGGCTCCTCCTGGTATGATACCACCCCAGGTAACCATCTTCCTTGTGGTTGTAGTATCAATACTAGCAATGCTTGTGGATCTCAGTCTCTTGGGTTATTTTTGGACATCCGTTTCATAGTTTAATGTAATTGGTTGGAATAGTGGTTTCTGATTAGAGGACAAGACTAAGGTTCAGGATTGCCTAAGTTTGAGTATCAATACTATAAACTCTTGTCGACATCAGGTTCTTAGGTTACTTCTGGATGTCAGTTGCACATTTTTATATGTTCTTGGTTGGATGGTTGTAGAAGAAGACAGGTTCAGGATTGCCTAACTTCATATGGTTGAGTCGATAAAAAGTAATAACGTCTAGGAACTTTTTTTCTCTTTCTTTTGGGAGAAAAATTAGGATTCTACGAGAATTGTGTTCTGTATAGTAAAAAGAGTGTTGTTTCAGGCTGGTTTTGGCTATCAACAGCAGCTTGTTCCTGGAATGCGGCCTGGAGGAGCTCCTTTGCCCAACTTCTTTATGCCATTAGTCCAGCAGGGTCAGCAAGGCCAGCGACCGGGTGGTCGACGTGGTGCAGGGCCTGTGCAACAAACTCAGCAGCCCATGCCCATGATGCAGCAGCAGGTTAGTCTCTTATCTCTGTTGTAGAGTTTATCTTTATGAAAGAAAAGTCCTTCTGAAATCATCTTTTCAGATGCTCCCAAGGGGAAGAATGTATCGGTATCCACCTGGTCGTAATGGGCAGGAGGCGCCAATACCAGGCCTGGCAGGGGGTATGCTTTCTGTTCCATATGACATGGGTGGCATGCTGCCTCGAGAAGCTGCTATGGGACAGCCTATGCCAATTTCAACATTGGCTTCTGCCCTCGCAAATGCACCACCTGAACAGCAGAGGACGGTAAAGTTCATTTAGTTGCATTGTTATTTTGTTGCCCACTTTAGTTTGATTTCTTTTAACATTGTGCATTATGTTGCAGATGTTGGGTGAAAGTCTGTACCCACTTGTTGATCAGCTGGAGCACGAGCATGCAGCAAAGGTGACGGGCATGCTTCTTGAGATGGATCAAACTGAGGTTTTGCATCTGCTTGAATCACCAGAGGCGTTGAAGGCCAAAGTTAATGAGGCTATGGACGTTTTGAAGAATGTTCAGCAGGCTAATAGCCCTGCTGACCAACTAGCCTCTCTCTCTCTCAATGACAACCTTGTGTCTTGAGTGATTATGTGCTGTCCAAGTAATGTGGAAGTCTCCGTTTTGATTAGATAATTTCCTTGGTAGTGAAATAGATTTTGCTAGGATGAGCTTTTCGAGATAACTTTTTAGGTTTCCTTATAGGATGTTTTATTTTGGATTCCGGTTAGCTTTATACATTGTGGAGGTTATCTTCCTTTTATGTTATGTTATCCAGTCTTGAATCTATTATGCTTTCGTGTTCTGAATTTCTCTATCCGGGCGGGTCATCTTTCAGTATGTTTAGGTTTTTAATCTTGTATTAAATGGTTAGTCCAGGCAACGCAGGTTTGATCCCTGGCATCGGCACTATGAAATTTTATCTTCGGCAGAATGTGGATTGTGGTATGGTTAATTTTAAGGAATTTTTACATTCCTATGCCACATAGGAATCCTTATTACCCTCAACGTTTAAGGTTTGACTTAATTATACTTAGTATACCAAATTATCAATTTTATATCATAATTAATTAAGGGTATAATTGATTGTACTATTTTTTACTCCTTAATTAAAGGAATCTGTATAGATAAGTATCCCCACTCATCCCACGTTTCTCTCTCCTAATTTCCCATCCCCACCCATATTTTACTCATAACAAGATGATCTGCGGAGGAAGCATTGGATTCTTTAGAACTAAATACATCTTTGCCGCCGTTGACGGTTTCCGACGAGGAAACTCCTTTGTTCTCTACTTCTCCATTCTCTAAATTGGACTATTGATTTTCGGATGGCATATGAGTGTGGAAATTTTTCTAAAATTATTTACCCATGATGCCATTTTGCCTCGCTGCAGTCATTTTGTCCATATGGCCAGAAACAGTTAAAACTAAGTTGAAATTTTTGTCCTCAAATTAAAATGGGGGCATTATGACTGTTACTGTCTTTCATAATATAATATTGAAAAATTTCTTATTTTTACTTCTGTTTTACTTTTTCTATTTCTAATTTGAGTTTCTTGATTTCGCACACTTTATACACACATTTGATACATCAAAAATATGAAGTAGTTACAGTTGGATTGATCAGAATTTGAAATAAATAAAAGAGATTTTTACATTCCTATGCCACATATATTTCAAATTCTATGGAAGTCTGATTTTACGGTATTAACTATAAAATTCCTACATTTATCTACAAATAAACTACACATCAGTTTTAGGATGTATAAAGCAATATTGTTTTCATAATTATCTACAAAATTACTACATTTATACTACAATTAAACTACAATCTATGTTGAAAAAATGTTGACTACAAAATTTTTCTCTTCATATACAAATTTTCTACAAAAATTCTACAAATATACTACAAATCAGTTTAAGTATGTATAAAGCAGTATTATTTGTAAGGGTATCTACATAATTACTACATCTATACTACAATTAAACTACAATCTATATTGAAAATCTACAATTTTTCTATAATTTCTGCAATATACGTCTTCTTCTTCTTCTTCTTCTTCTTCTTCTTCTTCTTCTTCTTCTTTCAATCTGAAATTCAATCAAAACCAAGTCTAATCTTCACTAAAACCCCTCAAAATTGAGATATAAACTCCAAACCATATTCCCAATTATTTTCAACAATACCCAATCCAAACAAATAATGATTTTTGAAAACCCAAATTTGAATTCAAAGCTTTCAAGCTTTTTAATGGTTGTCAATGGCGGAATTGCTGCTCTCTTTTCATTTGCTTTGTATTACTGAAATTTGGACATAATTGCGTTTGATGTAGAAGAACTGTAGAAGATTTAGTCGTTTTTGATTTGTGAATTGTAGAAGAATGATCAATTCGTTTTTGAATTATAGAAGAATAATCAATTCGTTTTTGAATTATAAAAAAATTTTAATGCTACAATGATTTCTTATTTAATGAAATATCTGGAAGAATATTTACTTCCATAATTGTAGCGCGCCTAAATAGGAATATTTGGAAGAATATTTAGTTCCAGATTTGCAGCGCGCCTAATTAGGAAGGAATCAACTCCTAATAATTGGTATTTAATGAATGGTATAATATTTGTAGAATAACTATGAACATGGCGGGTAAATATGAAACTATGCACATTTTTGGTAATAAAGTTTCATATATGGTATAGGAAGGAAAAAGTCTCTAATTTTAACTACATTTTTGAATAGCATGGGGTTAGGAGCGTTCATAAAAATCCGAAAAATCGAACCAAATCGAAAACCAAACCAAACCAAACCGTTCAAAAAAATCGATACTTCTTAGGTTTGGTTTGGTTTGGTTTTGGTTTTGAATTTTTAAAAATCGATCAAATTTGGTTTGGTTTTGGTTTTACTAAAAAAGTCGAACAGAATATAAAACTAACTATTTAAATTTATTATTACACCTATATATATATATATATGTATATTTTTATATATAGTTTCTAAATTTTATGATACATATTAGTCATTTACATTTTTAGTTTAGTTCTTTGCTATTTAATAATCTAATTCTGTTGCCTTTACATTCTAGTTTGATTGGTAGTTTTCTTTTTCTAAGTGCAAGAATTTGTATCATGTTAAAAATAATCGATTTTTAATTGAGTAGTTAAATTATTCATCACTATTTGATTCAATTATCATCAATATATCTTGGTAAATGATAGATTTCTCAAAGAGCAATTGATTTGATAGTGTTAAGTTGAAAATGTAGTCGCCGGAATATGCGTTTGGTAGTGTATGTCTTATACTTAAAAAAATATCGATAAATAATCGAAAAAACCGAAAATCGACAAAACCGAATCAATAAAAAATCGACTTAATTGGTTTGGTTTGGTTCCAATATTTGAAAAACTGACTTACTTGAAGTGGCTATTTTAAGGAAAAAACTGATCCAAATCGAACCATGAACACCCTACATGAGGCGGATACAAAAGATTCATGAGACCGGTGATATGGGTTATAACTCATTTTGAGATAAGTATTTAAGAAAATAGGAAATTAGTTCAAGAAATCTGAATTATTTCCTAGTGTATGGCTCTGCAAATCTTCAATTATTAATTCTAGGTTACCTTAGAATTGTTTGGTTCGGTGAACTTGATAATTGCCAAATGTTAGTCTTAAGTGTCAACTGCATAATTACGTTACGTGTATGTGTTAAAGTTGATCTCCGCTTGCTCAAATTATTTGCTAGAACTTACAACCTCTATTTGAGTTTGATATACACAATTTATCATTTTTTAGAACTAAACATCTATGATCTGACGACGACGATAACAACGTCCAGTGTATACAAGTGGGATTGGGGGAATAGGATTTACGCAACTTTTACCCTGTTTCAGATAGATCTTCGATTAAAAAAAAGGTGGAAGAAGCACTGACAGTAAGTAATAACCATACAATATATTTAGGAAACAAAATCCAAGATAGTAAAAGAGAAGATGAAAGAAGTACTGATAGCAGGTAATAACAGTACAAGATATGTAGTGATAGCAAACTATGAGAGTACAGATGGCAAGTAATAACAGTACAAGATATGTGGTAATAACAGACTAAGGATAAAAGGGATACTATGCTAACATTAATACTATTGAACTAACAGCTTGTTTGGATGGTTGTTACCAATTGTATTGTTATTCCAAATCAATGTTTGTTTTGATTGTTTATTTAAAATTAATTGTAATTAAAATACTGTTAGTAATTTGCAAAAATATCTATCACATGTACTTCTCAAACTATTTTTTTCTATTAGGACTCATTTCTACTTTCATATATAAATTTTGTTTTTGTTTTTCCTGTCTTCCAACTGTTTATGCTATAATAAAACTTATGTTGATCACATTTTATTTATTGAATTTTTTGTGTGCAGCCTTATGTCAAACTGGCTTATAGCAAGCCTTCGCAATTGACACAAAAATATTCTTGTCCGTTGGATACCATCTTGTGTATATATTGGTAGATTTATTGTTTTAGTACTTCTAGTAAGTAACCCGTGTTAAGTATATGATGTTAAACATGAAGTATCACGCTGCCTTTCGCTCTTCATCTTGTTCACAATTTACAAAATGGAAGAACTATTCTCGAAGCCTATTTTTCTCATCAGTCAGCTATTTTTAGCGAGTATTGTTTAATCTAGGGAATATTTTTTTTAATATTTAAAATAACTGAAGGTATTTTAGTAAACTTATCAATTACAGTACAGTACGATACAGTTATACCAAACAGCAAAAATATTATTTAACAACAGCAAGCGATACAATCTATTCAAATATTGTATCCTTAAAACGACACAATACAATACAATACAGTACAATACGATACATTATAAAAAGATGGATAACAATGATCCAAACAGAGTGTAAGGAAGACAAAGGGAAACGCTCGACTACCTACTAACCTTCTACCCTAATTCTCGACCTCCACACCTCCTATCAAGGGTCATGTCCTCGGTTAGCTCAAGCTGCGCCATGTCCCGCCTGATCACCTCTCCCCAAGACTTCTCTAGCCTTCCTCTACCCTTCCTCGTACCCACAAGGCCAACCTCTCACACCTCCTGACAGGAACATTTGTGCTTCTCCCTTTAACATGCCCGAACCATCTTAGTCTTGCCTCTCGCATTTTTTCCTCCATAGGGGCTACTCCCACATCGTCTAGAATAACTTTATTCCTAATTCTATCTAACCTAGTATGCCCACACATTCATCTCAACATCCTCATTTTCGCTACTTTTATCTGCTAGACATGGGAGTTCTTAACTGGCCAGCACTCTTCCTATACAACATAATCGATCTAACCACTACCTTGTAAAATTTACCTTTAAGTCTCAATGGCATATTCTTATCACACAAGACCCCGGAAGCGAGCCTTCACTTCATCCACCATGCTACGATACGATGTGAGACATCTTCATCAATCTCCCCATCCCTCTGAATTATAGACAAGATACTAGAAACTCTCTCTCCTGGGAATGACTTGAATACCAAGCTCACATCCCCGTTCGCTTCCTGGTTAACACCGTTGAACTTACACTCCAAGTATTCTATCTTGGTCCTGCTCAACTTGAAACCTTTAGACTCAAGTGTATGTCTCCAGACCTCCCGACTCTCGTTAACACCACCTCGTGTCTCATCAATCAGAACTATGTCATTTGCAAATAACATGCACCAAGGCACCTCCCCTTGAATGTGTCACGTCAATGCGTCTATGTGATCTGACATTAATTTAATTTAAGAGAATAACAATTGAACTTTAAAACTTTAACTCGGTCAAAA